CCTACACAAGTTACATTGCGTTTTACTTTTAAGAGTAATGTTAGATGGACTTAACAAGTAGACTTAAAAATTAAACTTGATAATATCAATCATTGAATGTAGTGGGTCCCAATAAATGTTAGGACCCACAATGAAATCAATTGTTGTAATTATTAAATCTATTTTTTAAGTCTATGTAACATTACTTTTACTTTTAATGATTCTTTCCTTAAGACGAAGTTTTCATTGACAAAAAAGGCCCTCGTTGATGTAGATCTGTAGAAGTATATGCCCAAGTTGCATTCGGTGTAGGAGTTATGCCCGAAAGGTCTATGGAGACATGTGGTGATATCTACCACTTGGTAACAAGTCGTAAATGAATAGGATGGCTGCAGGTCCACCTTCACTTTATAGGACGAAGGTATCAAGTTTCGAATCTTATTTTCTGGATCTCTTAATTGAGTCTAAAGTTACTCGATTCAATTTGTTTTTTTATTGATTGGACACATTCTTAAAGTTATCTAATCTTGAAACGATTCTTAAAAAAATATATGTCATGTTATAGAAAATTATATTGATATATATATATATATATATACATATATCTTTTTTATTTTATTTAAGGTATAACAAAAAAATTTCAATTATTCAGGGTGTAATATGAAAATACAAAGATTTTTCAGGGTTTTGCAAAGTGTCATTTGCACCAGGAAAAAAAAAACAATAAAAGCATTGCATACGTATTCAAGATTTGGTTTAGGATAACCTTGTATTTATTTATTTTTTATAAAAGGATAATGTTGTATAAAATCAGCTGTATTACGTCACTAGTTTGGCAACTTTTTTACGCCCTTCGTCGAAACTCATACCGAATAGGAGAAGACTACGGAATCACCAATTTTTTTTTTTAAACCACGCCATCAAAGTTTATAAATTTTGTGGATTGAAATACAAGTTTTCGAATTAATGTTTGAAGTATTCAAGGCTTCAGAAGTATTGATTTTTTTTGGATTTCGCTGTTGGTATTATTGATTCGTATCTGTCCAATTTAACAAACGTGCAATCTCGTAAATGAAACATAAGACATTACATGCTTTGAGATATACAATGTATGTAATTTTATTCTTGTAGATAGATGGATCATTTTCGTTATTTGAATTTATGATATTTAAATAGTAATAAAACAAGTTTATGTGTTGTAACCACTCTATCTAAAATCGATATAACTGCGATTTAGATATATTTTATTATGCTTTTATTTAATTTTATTCAATATTGGACCATCAATAGTACATAAGTGAAGGGCCCACATATAAATAGTGAGTTTTATTGAAGTACAGGATAGTTAATCGAATAAAATTATTTAACAAAATAAAAGAAATAATTTGAATCCATATACGTGAGTTCACTGGTTTTACGTAATAAATGGTCATAATTTGCAACTTTCGGTGCAGTGCAGTATTTATTCTTATCCATAAACAATAGCTGACGTCAATAATTGTGAGTAATCAGATATGGAAAGTATTTGTGACGACTTCTAAGAGTGAATAGTGCATGGGACTTAACTAAGGACGTCAATTTAGAAAATAAGTATTTAATATATATATATATATATATATATATATATATATATATATATATATA